TATAAATTATACACAGAAAAGCACAATAAATTTGCCAAAAACTCAAATTTGTCAAAAGTCAAAATGAACTGACAAAGGACGATTTAATATGAATATACCGGGTGCGTCTCAAAAGTGGCTCAACCTTATAACTTTTTTATTTTTTAAGATAAAAAAACGACATGTGGTATGTTAGTATATGACATAAATTAGGATTGATTGACGCATTTAATTGTTTTTGGTCACTTCCTTTTTCACCGGAAATGGCTACAACTTTTGATTTTTAAATGATACCCTCGGTATATTTTTCATTTATTCGATAGAAAATGACACTCTGAATAGAATGACACAACATAAGTCCATTTTTGACATCCTCGCTTAAAAAATCGTATTCTAAATTTCAATCTAGAATGTTTTAAAAATCTGTGTTAAAAACACTAATTATTAATCAAGGAGCCGTGGAAAAATAATTGAAAAATAGTTGTTTTCTTGTCTTGTACACACACTAATTTTGGCCGGTTAACCGGTTAGAATAATCGTATTTTTAATCATATCTCAACTTTTAAAAATGGAACAAGGGTGGCTCATTAGCATATTTGGAAAAAGCATTTTTCTACGAATAATTTGGTAGCACACGTTTGGTACTTCAAGTCAAATTGTCGTTATGAATTGTCGTCATTATAAATAAACTATATGCAAAATTGTCAAAAGTTGACATATGCTATGTCATTCTATTCAGAGTGCCATTTTCTGTCGAATAAAGTAAAAAAATAACGAGGGCGTCATATAAAAATCAAAAGTTGTAGTCATTTCCGGTGAAACAGGAAGTGACCAAAAACAATTACACCAATCAATCCTAATACCAGATCTCGTTTTTTATCAAAAAAAAGTTATAGAGGTGAGCCATTTTCATATTTAATGTATGAATACAAAAAATCTCTATCTCCTGCCTTTTATTAATGCTCTAGTGAATATTACACGTGTTCTTTAGGTAAGAAACTATAATATATTTAAAACTCTTACTTCTTTGAACTTCAAGTAACTCTATGCTTCTTTTAAAGAACGGGAAAATCATATCAGCTATAGGTGATCCTTTGTGTGGTACACTGTAGAACATAATCGCTTTTGTTTGATTAAAGAAATCTTCAATATGCTGAAATTCATCGTCACCGCTTGTCGCTAAAAATATAAATTTCCTAAATACCTATTGTTGGCACAATGATTGCTTCTTTACCATTTAAAATAATTTGTTTAATAAATAAGCCGCCCTTTGAGTGACCAACCCATACAATAGGTCTTCTGCCTACTCCTACCCGTACTAATTCTTCTATCATTTCTTTGCTTCTCTCCCTCAAGTCTGACCTAAAAAATATTATTTATTATTTATAGTAAATTCAGTATAGAATAAAAGTTTGAGCCTTGATTCTAAACTATTTTGATGATTGACATTATTATTGGGAGAAGAGTGGCACAACCAGTTTAAGAATTTTGAACAATTTTGATGGAAATTGCTTGGACATATATTTTTTTCTATTGTTACCATTGGAAGGAGCTTCTGTTAGAATTATTATTTTCGATGTAAGGAAAATACCGTAAAACCTAGAGCGGTTTTGCGCTCGACATTCAAATAATATATTAATAAGAAAACCAATGATACAAAGATAAGTAATAAATTAACAGCTTGCCAGTATATTCTCTCAATTTATTAAAACGAAAATAAAAATTTAAATAAAAGGTAAATTTGAACAAAATACATAATTAGAAATTTCTAATGTGTCAAAATTCTTAAAAAAATTACATGATCATTTAAAATCAGTGCCTATGATCAGTGCCCAGGTGGTTTGATGCTCAGATGCTGAAGGTTTCAATACATAAAAATTAATTATTAGTCAAAAACAGTACATTCTATCTGTAACAGTACATTCCATTTGTAATAATCTAACGGGCAGTTGCTAGTAAAAGTCAAAAATATCCTTAATAAATTAATGTAAAACTAACTGACTAAAAAAATAAATTGTTTTAAGCTATAAATATTTTAAACTAAGCGTTTGTTATTCAAAAGACCCTTATTACTACATATTTGATGTGATTTACATTATTTAGATAAAAAAGAAAATGAGCATCATACATTCCTGCATTGTGTTTTAGTTTCATTAAGCAATATTAGTGTGGCAATAAAGAAGCTATAAAACTTTTAGGAAAACTGTGTATTATAAACTCGAACTACTATATATTTTATGTAATGTATACTATAGAAATTAATTATAAATAAAAAAAATGTCTGTCATATATTAATATATTATGTTTATTTCTATTACAGCAATATGATGTCGATAAAAGTTAAATCGTCGAACGTCCTCTAGGAGATGCGAGGCCTTGTCGTTGGTGGGGAAGCTACTAGTCAAATGCTAGGGGGAATTCACCCTGGCATTTTAGATGGGTCTGAGGAGCATCTCATCGGCTGAAGTGTCTTGGCCAGGGAATTGCACCAAGACGTATAACGATGCCGGATGGGATTACCCTGTCCGTCATACCAGGCACTTGTATGACGTGATACATGACCACAGACTTCTGTCTGTGGTCATGTATCTACGGGCAGAGAGTGTGGAGGGGTCTTAGCTTAACTGCCCGGACCAAGAGGAGACAACCTCACCAAAAACCCAAATCCTATGACGGCGAGACCAGGTTAAAGGCATGCGTGGCTAGATCGAAAACTAGCCTCTACTAGTTTCAACCTTGGGGCATCAGGAGACAACCCATTGTATTCTCGTCTCCCTTGTTACTACATGCGGGCTCTGTAGTTGTGAACCGATGAACCGTTGCGGTGTAACTGACCTCAAATCTAAGGAGGCAATAGAGAAAGAGGGATATATCCTCTATTATAGATTCGGGACAACACCAGTGTCAGGTCTAAGGCGAGACCAGCTTAAAGAGGTGGAGAAAATGGAGGCAGATCCTCCAGCCGCCACCTTAATGGGTACCTTAGGCGGAGACAAGCTACTCGACTGTGAAGGATAGGGAGGGCTGAACCCCAACCGTGGCAGGGTGTATACCCTCGTAAGAGGTAGATGTTCACTACTCGAAGGATGAACATCTGTTGTCATAGGAGGATAATAAATACCCTGTCCCCTGTATGATGAGTTATAACTCAAGAAAGGGGCACACAATAGATCTTTAAGGTCGCGGTGACCCTCCCTCGTCTTACTCATTCTAGATTTTACATTTTAAATCGTTGAATGAAATATGAATCATAACGGATTCTTTTGTTATTCTTTCATCGAGTTGCACAAATAAATAATTTAACCTAACTGACATTTTGAAAAATCTAATCATAAATGATTAGGTATTTTAGAAATTGTGTATGGGAAATGAAAAATTACTTAACTCTGATTTTTTCTCAAATATCTTAGATCTTATAAAAATGTAGATACAATTTTAATTGATATTGATACTAATAGACCGAGAGCTAGCTACATAAAAAACCTTATCGTTACATGGCTAATTTTTCTTGTGAAGTCTCCTTATGTGTAGCCATTATGAAATAGTCATGTCTGCCAGCGCGATCCCGGGGCATAAAGCGGGGGCGGCCAATCGAAAGTGTGAAATTTTTACACTAAAAATATTATAAGGTACACGAGTTATAATTGCCAAAGAGCTTTTATTTATTATTAAAAAACGTAGAAAATTGTTGGCAGACATTTTTCTCGTGGCTAAAATGCCGGCAGACAACGCGAAAGAGGCATGAAATTTTAACAAAAAAAAATAATGGCATACATGCATGCTGATTGGTGGAATGTCATATTTATTTACTTAAAAAGCCGTATGCAAAAGGGCATATGAAAAAAATCGTGGCTCAATCAGCTGTAGACAGTTATCAAAAGCGCGATATTACTCTACAGGGTGAGTCTTGGATAAGTGCAAATATGTTCAGGGCTCGTATCTCGACAAAAGAAATATATTTTCTCTTTACCGTTTTTCAAATGACTCTAAAATAACCGTTCAAGTTTGAAAAATTAAAAAGACATTTTTAGAAAGATTTATGAGTCAACTGTTTTTTTCTGTATTTGCATCCATTCTTGTAGTGTCGTAACAAGGTCGTAACCATAGAGTAAAGCCGTAAGCATGGTAGATTAAAAAATTATACCGTGGGTAAATTTGCGGTGAACAGGCAGTTGTACAAAGTTTTCTAAAATATAAAGGAACATTTTTAAAAAATGCACGATTTTCAAAGCGGGTAGCTTTCCCTGAAAGCGCTAGAGTAATATCGCGCTTGATAACTGTCTGCCGCTCATTTAGCCATGATCTTTTTGTCTGACATTCCACAAATCAGCATGCATGTGAGCCATATTTTTTCCAAAATTTCATGCTTGTGTCCGTTCGCGTTGTCTGCCGGCATTTTAGCGACAAGAAAAATGTCTGCCAACAATTTTTCACGTTCGTTAATAATAAATAAAAGCTATTTTCGCAATTATAACTCGTGTACCTTATAATATTTTTAGTGTCAAAATTTTACCCTTTCGATTGGCCGCCCCCGCTTTAAGCCCCAGGATCGCGCTGGCAGACATGACTATTTCATAATGGCTACACATAAGGAGACTTCACAAGAAAAATTAGCCATGTAACGATGATAAGGTTTTTTATGTAGCCAGCTCTTAGACTATAAGGATAAGGAATATCGAACTTCCGTTGTATTTATGTAATTTAACTTACTAACGTTATCAAGTGTTAACTGATAACGGTCAGTTGCTGCTCATTGGCAGTCGTCTGGCCAAAACGCTGTGCAAGTCAAATTAAATAAAGACAATATGGTTTTTTTAAGAAAGACAATATGGGTACAGCATTTTTATATTATTCAACTGTCTACCATATCCAAGAATTTTAATGTTTCATTGTTCTAAGCATATTAATAATTTGAAATCAAATATACACTGATTTTTTATAAAATGTTTAGGTAAAGCAGTTATTTTTCATCATTTATTACTATAATTATTGATAGGAATACACAACAATTATTGTTTTTAATAAACTAAACTAAGCCTTAAATTGAACCATAAACTCTTATACAGGCCTTAGTCTATATAACTCCAATTCTTCAAATACCAACTATTCTCATCACTGTTGTTTTACAGCACAATTTCAAATTTTAATTAAAATAATTTATTTTCTATTTCCTGAAATTTAGGTTCCTTTTGACATTTTAGTTTTGTATAGTTTTTGGTTTAAGTGAATTGGGTTGTTATACATTAAGCCTAACTTTTTTTTTTACTAGCAGACCTTGCATTCAAAAATTGTTCTTTTTAAAACCGGTTGTAGTGCGAAGTGTAGAAGATGCCGAAGGAGGTTAATAGCCGTTGCATAAAACTCATCACAACCTTATTAAAATATTTTGAACGAGAAAGCGGTAATAATGGCCCTTTATGTCCCCCTTTTTAAGTGCTGTTAAGTAAGTAAGTTTTTTTGATGTAAATAATAACTCTTTGTACAGGGTTGTTCACCACATACGACACGGAGTATTGTAGCTAAACGATTAGATTTTTACAAATTATAAGTTTTGGGTTCGTTGAAGGTCTATTAGAGCTACAATTTAAAAATATTTTTACAAGATACAGAGTGTCCCAAATAAGTAAAAAATATTATAGTTGTATTTTTTTAAACGGAACACCCTGTATATTATTCTATTTTTGGATTCTACGATTGAAATAAAGGTAAATTTGATTAAGGTTTATTACACTTAAACCTTACGGTTTTTGAAATATTTTCAATTTTATAAAATTGCAGTAAAAAATTTAAGGCTTTATTTCTCCAAGGGTATCAAAGTTTTTAATACTAAATATTTACTGAAGATTATTTATTGATCAGATATTGTGTTGCAATAATAAAAATTTTACTACCTTATACAGAGTGTCCAAAAATTTATATTAAGTAATTACTAGCTTTAAACGGCAATAATTTGTTTAATTTAAACGGAACACCCTATATATTTTACGTGAATCAGATGCACAATGTAATTGTCTATCAAATTGTATTGTTCCATTTTTTACCCATCTCTTCAAGTTTTCATACAAAATGCATTTTCTTATAATTTAGACCTCATTTATCACTATACCCATGGAACATTGACATTTTAGCTTATTTTTAAAAATGTAACAACTTTTCAAAGGGTACAGATACTAATATTGTTGATATAGTTCGCTTATTTAATTAAAAAATAAAAAAAAACTGTTTAAATATTTTTTGTTAAAGAGGACCAATTAATATGATGCCAGTATTCAAACTACATAAATTGACTGTTTACGTTGTAGTAATAATTGCTCCAAATACTAAAAAACTAAATTTTGTGTGTGTATTAGACAGTGTGGTAAAAAGTAACACCTTATAAATTTTATTTCATTTATTGACGAATGCTTATTTATAAAAACAGAGACATTCATTTTTATATCTTATTATTATATTGATTTCTGAGCCAAATCCACATTTATTTAGAATATTTTATCAATTAAAACAATTTAAAAGTATGTAATTAACTAATTTTTAGTATTTTTGGTAGGAAATAATGGTGGTATATTTAATTGGTACACACTTTTACAAAGATTTAAATAGTTTTTTTGTATGCCAATGGGCTTGCAATATTTACCACCTGTACAATTTGTACATATTATGGTGCTATAAAAAAATCTGAAATGTCAATATTCCATGGGTATAGTGATAAATGAGGTCTAAATTATAAGAAAATGCATTTTCTACGAAAACTTACTTACTGGGTAAGAGATGGGTAAAAAGTGGTATAATACAATTTGATAGACAATTACATTGTGCATCTGATTCACGTAAAATATATAGGGTGTTCCATTTAAATTAAACAAGTTATTGCCGTTTAAAGCTAGTAATTATTTAATATAAATTTTTGGACACTCTGTATAAGGTAGTAAAATTTTTATTATTGCAACACAATATCTGATCAATAAATAATCTTCAGTAAATATTTAGTATTAAAAACTTTGATACCCTGGGAGAAATAAAGCCTTAAAATTTTTACTACAATTTCATAACATTAAAAATATTTCAAAAACGGTAAGGTTTAAGTGTGATAAACCTTAATCAAATTTACCTTTATTTCAATCGTAGAATCCAAAAATAGAATAATATACAGGGTGTTCCATTTAAAAAAATACAACTATAATATTTTTTACTTATTTGGGACATTCTGTATCTTGTAAAAATATTTTTAAATTGTAGCTCTAATAGACCTTCAACGAACTCGAAACTTACAATTTGTAAAAATCTAATCGTTTAGCTACAATACTCCGTGTCGTATGTGGTGAACAACCCTGTATATTTATAATAACTATTTAAATTTAGTTCAGTGACTAAAACTTTATTTGGTATGATCTTACAGTCGAATTCACGAATGCATCACTAATATCTACCTGGTTTTCATTTTCTGCCACATAGGCCTCCACAACATGTCCGTGGTATAGTTGATGGCGACCACCCTGACGCCAGGACAGTCTTGTGGTAACCAGTCCCGTGGCCAGCATTGACTGAAATTCTCCATGACCTCTTTATCCACTTCTTCCATTTCTTTACGCCGGTCCGTTTGGTCGTAGTCCTTCCCATTTTTCCTAGCTACTTTTATGGGTACTTTTGAATATATTTTCGATAGTGTTCGTTTTAAGGTACCTTCTTGGGTGCCGTTGTCGTCCTTGACGGGCACGTACATGTTGCCCGTTGACCGTCGCCGGACGGGCGTTTGGTCCTTTAGTTTGTGGTTGTTCAATCTCCAGGTACCTTGAGTCCATGTTCTGTCAACTCCTGTAAAAACAAAACAGATACTACATAATTTAATTTTTAAGATAATTGAAATTTAATTTTTAAGATAAACAAAAACTGACAGATGAAGAAACAAAATATTTTATCGATATATGTGGGAGGACAATGTGTATAATTTAAAATTATTTTGAAATGTACAGGGTGCGTCAGAACTAAGATCCATACCAAAGTGTTATATTATTTTACGGAAGACTCGGTATTTTATTTTATTTTTGGATTCTAGGACATAAAATAAGGCCTTTATTATAAAGGCTAAATATGTTTAGAAGATTTGGTTTTTGAGATATTTAAAGATATTTAAATTTAAATATGCATGCAATAATAAAAAAGTTTGTAAACACTCTCTATATGACTTAGAATTAATTCTCGTGCTGCCTTTTACGCCAGAGAAATAAACTTGATTAAAAATTTTGATTGCTTCCTCAAAAGTATACAGGGGGTATCATAAATTGCTGGTCTATTTTAAATGTTTATTATATGTAAAAACTTCGTTATTTCAAATGCAATACTTGGTATTTTTTTAAAATAAATCGAAGCAGATTTAAATGCTCTTTCAAACTATATTAGGGTTTCCTATGCCTATCTCGCTCAGATTTTGAATAAAAATCGATTTTACAATAAAATTGCAATCAAGATGGTGTCGCTATGGCAATATTCTGGGGATAGTTAGTAGCTATTTTCACGTGTGTTAAATTAGCACAACCACTTTAAAAAAATGTATGAAACTATGTGGAATAATTGCCGTAAATTAGCCGTGAAAACGAAAAATTTGCCGCTCTTCGCTAAGTATGTTAAATCGATGGTTGTGCTAAGTTAATATTAAGTTAGCACAACCACCATTGGAAATCAGTGAAAGAACATAGTTAGAAATTTTACAGTATAGCAGGAATTTGCCGTTTTTTGCCGTTCTTAGATACAATTTAAAAAAATATCCTCCGATCATTCTCTATTCTCCTGTAACAAAAAATGTAATAGCGTCAAGGTCATATATTAAGTTAGCACACCCATTCCAGTAAACGTTAAGTAAAATATCTGAAATTAGGTGGAACAATTGGCCGTAAATTAGCCGTAAATATACCATGCAAACCAAAAATTTGCCGCTTTATTATTTGTTTATAAAATCGATAATTTTTTTAATTAACGTAAACGATAAAGTTAAATTAGCGCAATTTTTCTTAAAATTCACTAAATGGGATCAATAATTACTTTATAGTACAACAGGAATATGACGTAAACAAGCCGTGAAATCGAAAAATTTGCCGCTCTTTTATTTCTCTATAAAATCTACAGGGTGATTCAGGCTTCCGAAAAAATTCTATGTTAGGTTTTTGGTTTGTGAATTTCATTTCATTTTTTTATGTAATATGGAGGTAATGGTAACGCACATTTTGAAAATATTTTTGTCAGCATACAGGGTGATTCAAACATATTTTCAAACCAAAGTTGTATATTTTTAACGGAATACTATATATTTTTTCAGCTCAGTGGATTTGCCACTAAATTTCTGTTTCAAAATACCCCAATGTCATATACTATACCTAATGATTTTTGAAATATAACCGTTTTTAAACTTAATTTACTTAGTTTACCGTATATGTTAATAAAACAATTATTATTTTAAAAACAAGTAAAAGGGTCAAATTTTTCAATATTATGCTTTGCTTACTGCATATTCCTGTTTTACTAAAAAGTCATTATTAATCCCATTTAGTGAATTTTAAGAAAAATCGCGCCAATTGGTTACGCTATATGATGGTATACGAACTTTAATGATGGTAACTTTATTGGTGTATAAGATAAAACACACGTAATAACACGAATCAAAATGCATCATCTTCCAAAACGCAGGGTATTTGACAAAAGTGACAAAAGTTGACACAAAATTATAACCTCTAATTTGGCAAGACTTTGACAAGCGTCAAAAATCTAAAGGCGAGTTCATACACATCGGCGTCCGTTTGTCGTTCATCGTTCCGTCAAACCAATAAAATTGAAATACGATCTGTCATTTTTGAAATAAACCAATAAAACTGGTTAAAAACAACAAGAGACGACGCATGACGGAATTATATTTAAACCCATCCATAGTTAACTTAAAAATTATTAGAAACGTTTTTTAGTAAAATAAATAGATTGGTATGGGACGTCATCTGCTTTTCTTCTGTCATCGTCTGTCGAAATCTTACCTGAGAAAAAAAACAGAGTATATAGTATATGACATTATGGTATTTTTGAAACAGAAATTTAGTGGCAAACCCACTGAGCTAAAAAAATATATAGTATTCCATTTAAAAATATACAACTTTGGTTTGAAAATATGTTCGAATCACTCTGTATGCTGACAAAAATATTTTTAAAATATGCGTTACATACATAACATAGAGTTTTTTCGGAAGCCTGAATCACCCTGCAGATTTTATAGAGAAATAAAAGAGCGGCAAATTTTTCGATTTCACGGCTTGTTTACGGCATATTCCTGTTGTACTAAAAAATCATTATTGATCCCATTTAATGAATTTTAATAAAAATTGCGCTAATTTAACGTTATCGTTTACGTTAATCAAAAAAATTATCGATTTTATAAACAAATAATAAAGCGGCAAATTTTTGGTTTGCATGGTATATTTACGGCTAATTTACGGCCAATTGTTCCACCTAATTTCAGATATTTTACTTAACGTTTACTGGAATGGGTGTGCTAACTTAATATATGACCTTGACGCTATTACATTTTTTGTTGCAGGGGGATAGAGAATGATCGGAGGATATTTTTTTTAATTGTATCTAAGAACTGCAAAAAACGGCAAATTCCTGCTATACTGTAAAATTTCTAACTATGTTCTTTCACTGATTTCCAATGGTGGTTGTGCTAACTTAATATTAACTTAGCACAACCATTCATTTAACATACTTAGCGAAGAGCGGCAAATTTTTCGTTTTCACGGCAAATTTACGGCTAATTTACGGCAATTATTCCACATAGTTTCATACGTTTTTTTTAAGTGGTTGTGCTAACTTAACACACGTGCTATTTTCAAAATCGATATTCGTTTATGGACTTTACTTAAATTTAAAACAGTTTACTTTTATTTAGTTTACCTGCAATACCTTAATAGTAAGTATTTATTATTTTATCAAGAAAAATGAAGCAGTATCTGTTGGCGGAAGAAATGGATATGTTACTGGAGATTTTATTTTGTGGGAAAATTGCTTGTTGTTTGGTTTACGCTCAAAGATATCCAGTTCCTATTTGGTCAGAGTTCCTTTGAAAAACTACTTTTCCTATTTCGCAGAGCTGATAGTGTGGTATATGAAAAACCTATTAGGCAGAAACCTGTCGTTGAAAGTGAAGAAAATGAATTTACCTTAATTGGCTCTTTTATGAAAATCCAATATAATATTTACTAGAAAGCGTAATATAAATAAAAGAACTACTTCTTCGTTTTTCTTGATAAACTAATAAATAGTTGTTTATTAGACTATTGTATATATTTTAAATAAATGTAAACTGCTATGAAGTTAATAAACGAATGTCGATTTTGAAAATAGCTACTAACTGTTACTAGAAAATTGTGATAGCGACACAAGCCATCTTGATTGCCATTTTATTGAAAAATAGCTTTTTTATTCAAAATTTGAGCCAGATAGGTATAAGAAACCCTATTATAGTTGGAAAGAGCATTTAAATCTGATTCGACTTATTTTAAAAAATACAGAGTTTTGCATTTGAAATAACGAAGTTTTTATGTAAAATAAATATTTAAAATAGACCCACAATTTTTGATACCCCTGTATACCGGGTGCGTCTCAAAAGTGGCTCACCCCTATAACTTTTTTATTTTTTTCAGATAAAACAACGAGAATACCAAATCTCGTTAGTATATGATATAAATTGGGATTGATTGACGTATCTATTCATTTGTCTTCGGTCACTTCCGGTTTCACCGGAAATAACTACAACTTTTGATTTTTAAATGGCACCCTCGGTATTTTTTTATTTTATTCGATAGAAAATGACACTCTGAATCGAATGACATATAATATGTCAATTTTTGACATAGTCACTCAAAAACAACTTCTACTTTAAATTTCAATCTAGAGTGCCACGGCTGTGTTAAAAAACACTAATTTTTAATCAAGGAGCCTTTGAAAAATAGATTTGACCGTCTAATGTTTTTAGTGTCTTGTCCTGGCCGGTTAAAAGATGCCCAAATCGTATTTTTAATAATATTTCAATTTTTTTTTAAATGGAACGAGGGTGGCTCATTAGCATATTTGGAAAAAGCATTTTTTTACGAATAATGTGATACCACACACTTGGTATTTTGAGTCAAATTGTCTATGCCAAAATGTCAAAAGTTGACATATGATATGTCATTCGATTCAGAGTCTCATTTTATATCGAATAAAGTAAAAACATACCAAGGGTGCCATTTAAAAATCAAAAGTTGTAGTCATTTCTGGTGAAACCGGAAGTGACTGAAAACAATTGAATACGTCAATCAATCCCAATTTATGTCATATACTAACATACCAAATATCGTTGTTTTATCTGAAAAAATAAAAAAGTTATAGGGGTGAGCCACTTTTGAGACGCACCCGGTAGATTTAAGGAAGCATTTAAATTTTTTAGTAAAGTTTATTTCTCTGGCTTAAAAAACAGCACAAGCATTAATTCTGAAAAGTAATGTACAGGGTGTTGACAAACTTTGTTTATTATAGCATGCATATTTAAATATCTTTAAATATCTCAATTTTCCTCCCCACATGTACCCATAAAAAAATTGTTTCTACATCTTTCCGTTTTTGTATAATTAACCGAGGCGAATGAAGTGCGCCACCCTGTATTATTTATTATCTTACACTTAGTACATATTCTTTTATGGTTATAAATGGGCTAACAATAGCAGCTATGTTAGCATATGTAAAATCGTAACTTGATTAAAAAAGGTATCTTGATAAATAAAATGATATTATTATGA